CGCGCATCTCGGGCTGCTGCCAACCTTCTAGCATCTTATGGCACTTGATTCTCTGCTTTATAGCCGTCTGGTAGGCTGTCGTTAAGTCGATAATACGGCTGCTTTCATCGCGGTAAATCTGGAATCCTTTAAACTTACGTTCGCGAATGGTGGTATCGGACGAATTGCGCACCCACGCTAGGATAGACGATAGGAAGCCGTTGCGGTTGTCGATAGCACGCGTGACGAGCTCGTCAACGGGTGACACTATCTTAATAATAGCCCTAGTGTATAGATTGTAGATCTAGGCGTCGTTGCTCTACTCGATAAGGAAACCCCGCTACTAGTAGTCCTCGGTTTTCAGGTAGTCCTAGCTATAGTCCGAGAACTAGCTGTATAGCCCTACGCCCAGTATATATACCGTCTCTGAGTCTAGGATACGTATAGCCCACGAGACGGCGTAGGTAGCCGACCCGCTATAATAGTCGTCAAACGTTGGATCGTCGTTGAAGAGACCGGTGGTAAAGGGCTATGGCACCTTAGGCGTCCGCTGGAAGTAAGGAGACTCGGTCTGGATCATCCCGAGTATAATGTCTTTAGCGCTAGAGAGCTGGTACTGGTATAGAACGTAGTGCTCTGATGCCATACCATACAGCCATATTAGGCCCTAGCTCCCGATTAGCACTCCACGGCCGATATAAATGTCGATTTGGTCCTACGAGACCTTATCGAGGTCGTGGTCCGCCACCCACACCCACACGTTTTCCATATAGGCAGAGCTCTAAGCCGTCATATCATATGTAGTAGTGAAGCTGCTTTACACGCTGGATTAATGGATCCAGATAGTTTAGGGCAGTTTTCGGACTATAGGTCAGTTCTAATAGCACCGCCGACTCGGAAATGAGAGTCTAAACATATTAGCACCGTAAAAGATAGATAGAGGGACGAATAGAAAAAAGAAGGAATGACGTACCCTATAAACCAGATGAACCCTGAATTGGCTCGTGTACGTTCCACTCCATCAGCACTGCTCCCGCGGTGTTTCCAGAGATAGTAAAGAGCATATCCTGAATCTCCACCACGCCCATATCACCAGGCTGTCCTACCTTGACCATGACCCGCGGGTTCATTTCATCCCGGAACTTAGCGCCCTTAGCCATGATTTGCGACCAAGCCTGGCCAATAATGCGACTGCCAACGGGGACATTGAGTGTGTCCTTGACGACGTACAGTCCGAAGGGGAAATAGACAATAGACGAGAGGTTAGCTGCATTCTGGAGAATGACATTGAGAATCGGGCCATCATCTGTGACTCCATCACCCTTAGCACCTAGGGGACTTGACATCCATGATCTGGGCCATGCCAATGTCGTGGTACTTAGGGCAACGGCGCGTAAAGTAGTTGGGATTGACATAACCAGTATCAGCGAGTAGAGATGCCGTGCGATTCATAGCTGGAATGGCCTGTCAATTGACGAAGCCACTAACGCCTGACTCGCTCGAGACTATACCAAATCCCCAATTATCGAGGAAGACCTGATCACCACCGGCTACTAGGGTAGTGCCCAGCATGCTGTCAATAATGGCGTCCTGCACGTTGAAGAAGCCCGTGTTCTGCACCAGCAAAGCTGTCGAGTTTTCCAAGTCCAGCGATGTTACGATACCCTTCGGTGTGTTGGCAATCGGGGCATCGGTGGCAATCAGCGAGCCAACGTGCTGGCCATTGCTCATGGGCCCACCGGCGCCACCACAATGATGATGCCCGTGGTGCACGACTCAATAATGATGTCCTGCATGGTCCACGCCCAGTCTCAGTGGATCTGCAGGGCCGTGTTAGAGTTAACAAACAGGCCGGCGCGGTTGGCGGAGAACGCTCCATCTCAATTTCCGCGCGGACCGTGTGGCTGAAGGTCGATACGTCAGTTGCTGCAGGAGTCGCCGAAAGGTGTTGAATTCTGCTTCAATGGTTCTTCCCTCGACGGTGCGATGAAGGCGACATGATAATTCGCCGACGAACGAAAGTATAAAAAGGTAGTCGAACCCGCGAGAATCGCAGGGTAAGAACATGCTTTTCCACAACACTTCCATATCCCCCTTCACTCCCGTCTCATTTCTACCTCTTGCCCAATCCTCACGAAGACACATTTCATCAGCATATCCCAATTCTCCCTTGCCCATTATGTTGCCTGTATTCCACGCTGATAACTTCAAGTCATGGACTCCCCCCTCCCGCACAAGATGCCCCTCGTCAAAACCTCCATGCCTACACGAACACGCTCCTCCTAACAACCCCTCTTCCACCAAACTTCCCCAGCCATCTCTCCCAAAAGCATTGCCATTGCCCAAGCGTCAGGTCCCAACACGGCCCCCAGCCGAGGTTTGCGTCCATGGAAGTGCCGTGGCTCCTTCTGTCACTTCCCGGGGCCCTCAGTCTACGTCCCATAAGCCATCTAGGCTGCACTTTGACACGACAACCACCACATCAGCCCACAAGCAGCACGCAGAGCGGCTGGGACAGCTTCCGAGAAACAGGGCTAGTCCATTGTCAACTACGGATTTAGCCCCGTCACGCGATGTTCACGACGCCTTTGATGTCACCTTTGATGCGCCCTTTTGTCCAGACGACGCCTCGCAATGTATATCGTCACCCAGCGTATCCAGCTCCGACGAAAGCTGGCCAGAGCTTTTCCAAGTAGCGGACGAACAAAGTGGCATTCCGGTCGACCCGGTGATCCTTACCAACAATGGACCCTGGGAGACAGATGATGAACGCCAGCATATTCACGCAGACAGCGATGCGGTTATCTCGGAGACGAATTGTCCATATCCTGACCCTCCGCCACTTCTACGCGATGTCCCTGCCCAGTATCGAAACTCCAACGCATATCCCGGAGTGCAGGAACGAAACTCTCGTTCAGATAGCCCGCTACCCAACCAGTCTCGTGCACAAGTATCTGCCGATAATAGCAACCACAACGCCCACATTCATGCGTGCGGCAAGCTCGTCGAGGTCCCAAACAGTGGCCCACAGTCGAAACCCCGCAAGCGAAAGTCGCAAGAGTCGCATGGACAACCATAACTGTACAAACGGGTCAGAAAGTCTTCTGCAATCGCCTCGACGAAGAGTTCGTTTTCATCGCTTCGTTTACAATTCGCGTCTGCATCGGTTGATGAACGCTTACAGTTCCTTTCCTGGCTGTTCGAAGGCGCACTGCCACGTTGCATATCCCAATCCGACTCAGAAGCACCTGAACGCGTAACACCGCCAGCACGTCACTTAGTTCAGTCAACTGATTCCGCGGAACCTCATGGGACCTCCCGCAAAAGGCATGCCGTATTCGTCTGAAGAGCGGGACCTCCTATTGAAATTAAAAAGAGACGAGAAACGACCTTGGTCTGAGGTAATAGAGTTGTTCTCGGACCAGTTTCCTGGCCGGGGCCCCGGCTCCATTCAAGTATTCTTGAGTTCGACTCTCAAGAACAGAGCACTTTAACATGGTATGCCTGCCCGCCTTCTGACTTTGTACCGTATATAGTTGTAGAAGATTAAAGTCGTAGATGTGGCCCACCGTCATGTTCTGCTTGGCACGTCATTCGGGAAGCAGCAATTGGGAGGACAACGGAGCGAGCCATCAAGGCGTGGCCTTGTGGCACGAACCAAAACTCCCGAATTGTTCTATATTAAATAATGATATTTTTAGAATTTTACAGGGCTTTAATAGAGATACTTCCGACTTCCAAACAAGGGTCTTCCCGCTGACACTGCGCCTGGCATGCGAAAGGACCTCCTTCAATTCTCGCCGATGATGGACCGTGGGAGACGGAAAACTTACCTCAGTCCTCCCTGGGTGACGATCCTAAGCTTTCGAAGACGATCTGTCCATATCCAGGCTATCCGCCCATTTTCTCCGGCGCCCTTGGCCAGCGAGACTCCGTCGTGGTGGGTCAGGGCAAAGAGGCCCAGTTTACCAGCTCCCCTCACGTCCATCACAGCGTTGCGGCCGGCAGTCCTCCCTCCAGCAACTCGCCGGGTCCTGCCCACGGTGGTAGACAGTCTAGATCCCGCAAGCGAAAGCCGCGCCGACCGGATGGACAACCACCCAAACGGGTTCGAGGCTCTCACGCGTCGCCGCAGAGGGAAATTCATTTTCGGCGCTCCATACTTATTTCCTGTCCCTGCCACTCGAAAACGTTTACAATTCCTCACTTAGGGGAGCACGCACAATCGTTTGAACCGGACTTTTCTGAAGATCTCGGACTTCGTCTACGTTATGATCTCAGCGCGGAGCAGTTGATGGAGATGGCGAATTTGTTAGATATGGAGAGCTTGACCTGGCCATTACTATAAGGTGGTTTGGCTATATACGAACGGCTAGGTGGGGAAGTCGAGCTTACAGGCACTTCTTCACCATACACTAATCATGATTAAATATGGAAACAAGCGTGATGTCAACTGGCGTGTGAATTTTCTACTGAGCTTTTTGTTTTTGGCTTGTATAATTTTGTTCTTTGTTCCACTGAGCCCCTCTACACCTGTGAAATGAAAATGACCGCTAGACAACAAAAAGTGTGAACAGACCAGATGCGTCTGGTACGGTGAAACTCACGTAGTTCTGGATTCTGACAATTACCGGAATTACGAGCACGTGGAGCTAGGAAATCTATCACTTGATCAAGTATCGCAATTTTGTCTTTCCTGTGAACTAATCTTTCAATCTTGTTTCCAAACAGTTGATATAGCGCCTTCCTTTGCATAGATGGGATCATGGGCGGCATGGCCACTGACTTATATATTACGCGTTTCCGGGCTGTTTCCTCTGGTGAGTCTAGCGCTCCTTCTACACAACCTAAGAAAACGAGGATTCAAAGTAGGGCTTTTAGTCATTGATAGTTACCTTGGCCAAGACCAGCCCCTCTTTTGCTTCAGCCGGAACCGCGCTACTGGACTGCAACCACATGGAAGGGTAGGCTGCGGCCATCCCCTTTTCTCTTTCTGATTTCCCTGCTGCTCAAGAAATACAATGCATTGGGAATACAGGACTCTCTACTCCAGAACCCCCCGCTCCTTTGTCTTCGCCGTCGTTGCCAATGTCGGGCCCGGCGGCGCCAGCCGCTCCCTGGCCGTGGCCTACCGGCAGCACCACGATGAATACAACATGAAGTCATCATGGCCACGAGTGCACCATATAGTGACTGATACCCTTGCGCTGATCGAAATCCTTTCGGATCCCGCGAACCGCGCGCCGCTGGAGGCGGAGAGGGCGCTCGCAGAGGACTGGTATCGTCGGTCTCCGGGGGAGCCTCCGATTCATGAGCGGCCCAGCGTGCCCGACACCGCGCAGCCACCTTTCAAGCCCTGGTACAGGCGTCGGGAGCCAATCCAACAACAGCCCCCGCTGCCGTGGCGTGATGATGCGCTCAGCCAGTTTCCCTTCACTGCGACGTGCGTTTTGCTGACGTTGTTGCGCGACGATCGCGATTGTGATGCCACCCGCCCCGGCGACGTCCAGTTCCAGCCGCTATCAACGGTGTTCCGCGCGGACTGCACTGAGTATGGCCTAGTCGTCCTCGACATCTCCGACCTCGACAGCGGTGTCAAGTACGGCATGGTTGCGTTTCCCGTGGACTACATGGCTGAGGTTCCGTCCCGCCAGAAGTTCTTCAGCTGGGATCCCGTCGAAGACCCCCAGCCAGAAAAGGAGCCGGATGTTGTACTTATGAGCCCGCGGCCTCGAGTGCTGTTGTCGATTGCTCAGTGGGTAGGGAAGTATTACAACTGGTCGGGCCTGGAAGACCACCCTAGCATCCTCCGACTGGACAAGAGGCCGCTGGTTGATGCGGCAGCCTTGGATTGTACGTCTGTTCACGCCAGGGGGATCCGGGTGATTTTGTAAGTGCTGACGGGGAGTGGTAGATATCTGGCCACCGGAGCTGGAGGATCCAGCTCGAGCATCCTCAAAAGGTGTTATCTCGCGCATTCTGAAATGTCGGTGGATGACTCCGTTCCATGTGAACCCATATCGACCGCATTTGCTAACCTCTCCGACAGACTTCAGGCCTTCAGAGAAGGCCAGATCCACCCCCCGATCCATGGTAGGCTACACCATAGTAGACGAACCGCCGCGAGATGTGTCCATGGACCACGCAAAAGATGATGGATCGACCACAAGAGCCTCGAGCGTGACCATATCAGATGAGCCGCCGCAAACTGTCCCAGTGGACATGGACCGCACCATTGATGATCTGCTGGTTCTCACCCAGGAGCCCGCCTGCCCTCCCCTCGAGAAACAAGCGCTCGCCCACCTTCAAATGCTGGTCCCGTTCCGCGAGAAGCTGCGGCAGCGACTCGAAGAGGTGCCCGACAGGCTCGGCCCCTCCACGATCTCCAGCCATGTTCTGCGCGTGGCATACACTGAACGCAGTCACCTCAACTGGGTGGCGTTTGGGAACCTGCCGCCTCGTGTGATTGCGGCCGCCGTTGCATCGGATGATCTTCGGGGTGCGTCTGCGCTCAGCCTCTGCGTCGATGCGTTCCAGCTGGCGGGAGATGAGGAAGAGGGAGAGTCAGACCTTGTTAACCTCGCAGCGGCCCTGGCGCAGTCCACGGCCCTTCAACAGCTGTGCTTCTTGCAGCAACCGGACCGGAACCACGACGATGTCTCGGATCGTTTCTGCTCGCAGCTGCTACGGCTGTGGGGGAGGACATCAGGAGAAGACTGGGAGTGGCTCCGGCCGAAAACCATCCATTCGACTTCCGCATTCTTAACCGGTTTACGCAGCCGCAAATTTTTCACATCGTCCTCGATGATGGGTTTGGGTTCCAGCTTCACCTCCTCGGGCGCCCAGGTCGTTCCCATGATCCATCTGTTCACGTTTGAAGGTCCCCAGCGTGAAGATGTCCCGGACGCAGCCGCAGACCACCACGTCCAACGTGCTCGTCCCGGGTACAGCGGCTACTACTCTATAGACAATACTGGGTTAACCGCCGAGAGCTTCGCCGTCCGATTCCTGGTATACCTCCGATCTTTGGGTCCGGATTCGGATCCCGACAAGGCCATCTTGCGAGTTGCATATCATGGGGCTTTCTCGTCGCTCGCTTCCGTCGACGACGACGACGACGGCAACAACCCCCCGTCGCCGCCCCGGGGACCGCCGCTCCAGTCATGGCCAGATCGATTGGGTGTGAGGCCCATCCCCGCCGGATTTTTCGACGACGAGCTCGCCCCCGACGACCCATCTAGAGTCCGACTCAGGGATATCCAACCCGGGAGCTGGGTGGTTCTTGTGGATCGACGAGACCGCAGTTGCCGATTCAGCGACGACAACGCCTTCTTACAATACTATTTTATTAGAATCCGTCGACCCTCTGCCGAGATTGCGCCCGAGCAGCAATCTAGCTCGGTCGAGGTGGTCGGCGGGCTGACCGACTTCCTGCGCGAAACCGTGCCAGAGACTGATATTGCCACGTGGGAGAAACGGGTCGAGGAGGTAGAGAAGGATTTGGTTTCAGCTTTAACTAGGCCGAGCCCAACCAGCACCCCGTCATCGATTGATCTTGCGACGGCGGAGGAACGGGCGAACGAGTCGTTCAGGCGTTTGGCCTCAGCTTCAACTGGGATGAGCGCACCCAGCACCCCGCCAGATATTGATATTTCCACTGGGGAGGAACCGGTCGTCCAGGTAGAGAGGAAACGCTGCATGGATGTCCGCGTCATGGCTGAGAGCTGGGCACACACTTTTCTGGACCAGGTACTGTGATTTTGTGACTGATAATTCTAGCTAATCTTCATCGTGAACGTAACCGAACTGGACTTTTCTTTTTTCTTTTTTGTTCTTGTTTTCCTTTTTTTTCCCTTTGTTTCTTTGGTTCTTCACAGAGTTTTCCCAGCCTATACACCTTGAAGTAGGCACAGAGCGCTGTTCAACTCTATTCTGGCACCTTACCTACGAGCTTCTTGCGCGCCTATAGGTATCTAGGTAGTATCATTGATATTAGGGTATTGTAAAGATATAGTACTCACTGAAGGATATCTTTTGCAGCTAGCTGAGGTAGCCTTCTATTTGCGCCGTAAGCTGCGACCTGGTACAATGTACCACTCGGGCAAAAGAACCATTGTATATGTAGGAAGGCCTTGACTATGTTATCTTACATTCCTTTAACATCCATTCTGTACATGATATCCCCTCACCAACAGACACAATCTGCCAATACAGCAATATATGACACAATATAGCCCTACATAATACATATATATATCTCCATCCAACCCCACCTAATCCATCTTCCCCACCCACCAAACCTATAGATCACAAAACGGTACCTGTAAATTCTCATACAACAAAAGTCCCGTAATCGACGACTGGTCACAGTGGCCCGAGCACGGGTTATTCTCATCCAGGGGGTCCAGCTGGCGCGGGGTATACTTCTTGCCCGCAATATCCAGTTGGAAGCCGCATTTGGAGAAGAATTCTGGACCTTCATTGACAAAGGTCATGTCCGTGCCGCATTGATCAATGGCGAATTTGCTGTTGGGCGCTTCGCGGATGTCGGGGGATGAGCCGATATTGCCGTCGACGATGAAGATGCCGTAGCAGTGGGCGCCTGGAGGGGGTTAGCTAGCTCGTCGATCGAATGAGGTGGGAGGAATGGAGGGCACTGACCCGGCCCATAGGCGCTGTAGGCGTAGACGGGAAATTGCCCGGTGGGCGTTACGGTGCTACCAATACACAAGTCTAAGGTTGGGGGCTCTGGCGTCTGCGTTGGGGGGTTGGTGGTGGTCGTCGATGTTGGCTCCGGGGGAGGCGCCGGGGGCTGCCCATGAGGGTTGTCCGGGTCCTTGGGGTCATAGTAATCCGGGGGATGGCGGATCTCCGGGTCTGGATCGCAGTAATACCCCGTGCAAAGCTCTCCACCGCAGTTGTCATCGCTGGTACATTCGGGCCCTGACGGGCCCTCTTCCCAGTTGACGTTCTTGCCCGGCCCATAGTCGCCAGGGATATGGGGGCAGCTCCCACCACCACCGCCGGATTGCTGGCGCCCATGTCGCCCCCGTTTCACGGGATTGCTGCTTTGGTCAGGGATGCAAGGCATCACGTCCTCTCCCGGGTTGGGGCGCTCATCTTCGAGATTGTCCTGGATGGTCGGGCACACCTTGGCCCAGTCTTCCGTCGACCCGTACTCGCGGAGACAGCTGTGCTCGCCCACCTGGCCGTTCCAGATGATCGGCCGCCGGGCGGGGGCAAAGACTTTGACGTTTTCTATCAAGAAGCGGCGTGCAAAGAGCTGTATGAGCTTCTTCACGTTGCTGGGCTTGTCCAACTGGGACTGCCAACGAGAGGGCACTGCGCGGAAGTAATTGGCCAGGGGATACAGAAGTTGAAATGATGATCTGATGTTCTAGCTAATCGTCGATTATAAATCTCTGGGTAATACCTAAGTGGTTAAGAAGAGTGGCCAAGAGTGATTAAGAAGAGTGATTAAGAGTGATTAAGAGTGGTTAAGAGTGGCTAAGAGTGGTTAAGAGTGGTTAAGAGTGGTTAAGAGTGGTTAAGAGTGGTTAAGAGTGGTTAAGAGTGGTTAAGAGGACATACTATTTGCTCTTCAATTATACCTTTTCACAGGAGCAAGGGTGGGAAGTTCTATGCCCTCGGATGAGAACAGACACCAGAGAGGCCTTCGATATGAAGTAGGTGAACTACCATTCCTAACGATTATTCTGTTCTAAGGCCTGATATTAGCACATCGACTTGGTTCTGTTTCCTTCGCGCACCGATCCTTGGGAAGTGGGATGGAGGGTCAATCAGGTTTGGCTGAAGAACAATCGAGATTCAGAATATATAGTGTAGGGCTGAAAACTTCTTGCTTATTGCTTGATTGCACTAACATGTTTCAAGGTTCGGAATTGGTATCCGAGATAGCAGCAAACCGCACTTCGCATCTGGCGAGGTCCTCCTCAGCCTTGCACTGGAACACGGCGCTCTTTTTGGGATCGAATCTGTAGCAGATCTGGCACAATACGACCTGTCAAATGGGGAAATTCCACTGCGATGGAGGAAAGATTATTTGTCGAAGCCAATTTTCCGCAACGTTACAGCCGACGGACCTCAAAACATCCCTCTAACGCAAGGGAGGTTCACCAATTACTTGCACCAAATCTTCGTCGTAGCTGGGTATACCAAGCACCCCACAATACATTGTTTGCGTCGAAATCCGGCAAAGGAGGTTGAACGTAAGTGCTTTCAACTTGACTGTAAGACATGCTGACTGACACCCTAGGCAGAAAGGTACGGCTCTGCTCCATTTTCGCAGATTCTTGCACATCGTGATCCAAAAACATTTCCCGAACATTATCAGGCCTATTGCTCTTCTATAGACACAGTGTCGGCCATACTAAATGAGGAGCCTCAATCGCAACACATTGAGTACTCCCAGGGCTATGGGCAATTTTGTGAACCCGGCTTGCCTCTTGAACTGCCAGCGCACATCCATAGTTAACTTGAAAACGAAGCACACATACTCGATGACCGGGTTGGTGCCCTCGGCCAGAGCCTGCAAACCCTGCGCCTGATTTAGAATATCAGTGCTAATATAGATGAGAAGAATGGGAAGTGACATTTACCTTGGGTTCATAGTTGGACGACCAGAGTTTGGATGGCCACAACATCATTTTGGCATCGAAGTATGAACTAGTTAAAGACTGTTATAGGCACTCTGTGCGCTTGCGATGGCTCGTCAATGCTTTCGGATAATTATAGAGCCTATAAACCCGGAAGCAAGAAGCAGGCTTTATGTAGAATTATCGGCCATTATACGAGCTGAAAACCTGCACGTTGTGGTTTGTTGGCTCACCTTGGCTAGATGCTTCCAGGCTCTATCTCTCGAGGTAAAAACGCAATTTTAGGTGTTTTGTGTGAAGCCCATGACTTAGCATACCTAAGCTCCTGCAACTCAAAGTTAAGTGATGGTGTGGTTATCATAGACAATCGTTGTTCCACCTCAGAGCTTTTCTCGGGTCGCGGCCCACTCAGCTCTTTCGTTCTTGACTGATTACCCACAGATGATTAAGGCCGGTCTAGGTCATGGCGATCTCTGTAGACGTCACCATTTCCCTTTTGTCCGGAACCTCAACTGCTCAGATTTATAGCTTGTGACGGAAAGGCTCAATCATTCTGAACTTGTCAAACATAGAGTCAACTTGACTGAAATTGTGGCTAACAGCATATTCTTCGCACTTTAGTAGGAGGGAGCTATTAGGCGGCTAGTTCTAGATCTCGTCTAGCTCTTACACTAACCTTGGAAATTGGCTGATAGCGAAGCCAGTTCAACCCTGGAAAGCACTGCGCTACAGAGTCTGCCCGTATAGTACCATAAAACGTATGTACCCGCGATGACCAGATAACCGTGCCTTAACAAGCCTGTTATCTTCCATCGAATAGAGCATACGTCGAATATTTCCTAATTGACAGGCTTCGTAGCCAGGTCAGAACCCATTTCAGAAAATCGATCTTAAATATCCCGGAAACGGGTCCTCGACCAGAGTTCGTACTTCATAAGCGGAATTTCTCAAAGATCACTCTCCATCAGGCTATCCTCCCCTATGCTCTTGAAAGGTGTACCCAAGTAAATCAAGGATATGAACAACTTTCTACTTGTTTGAGAGGAGCCGGCGAGGGACAAAAACACCTCAGTTTTTGGTAGTCCATTACGCACATCCCCCCGAATAAACCAACCGCCCCAACATTTCGATGAGTTTTGCAGCCGTATGCAAAGGGCTTAATGCATCATAGGCCCGGGGCATTAGTCTCAGCTCCTTCGTACTTCATAGACTCGGACTTCTTCTCCCACGGCGCAAACACATTTTTGGTCTTCTTCAAAGGCACCTCCAGCTCGGGGAAATGCCGCACTAGCACGTCCTCGGTATTCTGCAGCCAGTGCAGCCCCTCTTTGGTGTACGTGTCCGAGTTCCACTGCCCTGCAAAGAAGCGGTCGCTCTTCAGCCGCCTGCTGGCCATGAGAATGAAGATCCGGAACGCAGTGTCACTGAAGCCGAAGCCCTTGGGCAACGGCTCACTGTGCGATCCCACAAGCGTATCGACCAGTTCTACATCTCCATACACTTCACACAGCTCTTGGGCAAGCTCCTTGTTGCCGCCTGTCAGCTCCTCGAAGGTTTTGGGAGCGGACATGCGTAGGAGCCGTCGGAACTGATTGTAGCGTGGCACACCCCGCTCGCGGTCGCGCAGGATATCTACAGTGCCCATGTCACGGAACTGCCCATCGGGCGTACTCAGGTTGCCCATAAAGTTGGGGTAGTTGTTGTTGGTGATAGCGCCAGGGTAGTTGATGCCGAATGAGTAGAACGCGTCGGCGAAGGAGAGACCGGATTCGAACGGATTCTGGGCCTTGCTAAAGGCCGTTTCTACGAAAGGCATGGTTGACTTGTGTTTGCCGTCGGTAACACTGAAGAAGGCGATGTTGTCTGGGCAAGAAAGTTATCAAAGTGTGGCCCGGGAATGTTGAAACTCGGGTACTACGACGTAAGTGAGAGGCTTACCAGGAATGAGGGGGTGCATCCGGTACACAGACACAAACTCTTCAGTAAGAGAATACGGCACACCGAAGTGGTTGACACCAGATCCAGGGATGCCGCTGATAGTTTCACTCGTCTTCGAGATTCGACCGAGTGTCTTGGTTAAAGTCTCACTAGCAATGCCCCACCAGTTTACATTCATGCCTATCTGAAGAGCTGGATGGGCCAAGATGGCCGGGGTCCATTCGAGGGTGTGGATCTTGGCCATCAGGGCCGAGGTGACTAGGCGAGCCTTGTCGAAGATTTGATCACTGGGTCCTTTGGTAAGATCACTCTTTTCATTTGAAGTCTACGGGTCAACTTACCCAGTCCAGTCAGGATGCGCGGCACGAACTGTTTCACAGATAGCATTGTGCTCCATTGCAAACAATGTGTGCAGCATTTCGATGCCCGTCCACCAGTTATCGCTAAACCCAGTCCTAGGATTCCCGGAGCTATCGCGTGGTATGAATACCTGTTTGCTTCCCTCTGATAGACTCAGCTTCCCGTCGGGATCTGTCGTTCGTAGGCTCTGTGTGACAGCTTCGCTAGAGCCGTAAATCTGCGAGCCATCCCACCATGCTGTGTTTTTGTTCTTGTATCCCGGGCACTCGATGTCAGATGGGTCAAGCACCTCGTCTGGCTTAGTGCGCGGTAGTGTCATAGAGCTACGGGGCCATTTATCTTCTGACAGTAGTGGAATATCGTAGACCTCGTTGCTCTGGTCCCAAGAGTCAGCAAATATCAGTTGTAGAATTGACGAAGGGGATGCACAATTTCGTGTTGGAACCAATCGTGGACCTGGAATTGAATCCATGCTGCAGCAAGCAAGTTTAGACTCGTTGCAGGAATAAAGCCTTCCGGTTTCCTCGCCATAAAGCGCTCGCTAACCAGTCTAGGGTTCGGGGTCCAAAGCTCTCTCTCCGTCGGCTTCCGGGTGTACTCCCTAGGAAAGTTGCGTCCGAAGCGCATGCCTGAGCAGCCCATGAGCGGCAGTTCGAGGGAGTTGAACTTGCCATCTGAGTTGCGTGCTGTGAGGAACCGTCTATCTTCCAAGGGGTGGCTAAGCGTGTTGCCCTGCGCAGCGCATGATGCGTACCCATCATGGAGATTGTTGGCACGTAGCTCGGTGCGCATGGAGTTCAGGTTGAAAGCGCCGAGGAAGCCGGGAAGTTTGTCCCATGGCACGAATAAGTTGATGAAATAGAAGATGCGGAAGAATATACGCTCGAATAATGTCGGCTGGAAATTTGGCGACTCCATTTTGAAGTCAAGCTACAACTTATGAGGTAGGATAGAGAACTGAGTGACTGGATAATTAGCAGCAAGACAGACAGAATAGGTTCATTTTAAAGCAACTGTCCGCAATTCACACGCGTCGCATACACTCCCATACACAAGTTTGGGGAATGGAGTGGGGCTTGAAAATTGCTCAACCTCCGTGATGCGCGCATCTTTTCGTCAACCATTCGCCATGGAGAAATCTAGATCTTTGTATGTCTTTGGAATGGGATGATCCAGGGAGACAGAACCAGTAAAGTGGCTTGAATTTTACGCGGAGAGTTGTCGTCCGTCGACATGGACTAGGGTCATATGCATGATATATATCATCGATATTACATTTGCCGGTCTAGAATATTACTTTGACATTTGAGATCACCGAAGAGTCTAGATAAAATATGGAGACGGATCCGGAAAAAGGTCTGCTGTGGCATTGTCACGTTATACAGAGTAGATCACTATCTTGCAAAACAGACTAAAATTAAAACTCGCAGTCAAAGAGGCCTAGGCACTCCATAGACTGATGTCAACCTCAACCTCTTAAGAGGAAATCTATGCCATCGGTAGCGGACCTAAGCCTCCGGCCCTGGACAATCTCAGCATAATTATAAAGATTATTCTCACAGATTTCATAAAGTTTATGTACAAATCTACGTGCTGCGACAGAAGGCCTCAACCGGCTGCCCATTTTGTTGTTGCAGTGAGCCGTCCGCAAGGTTTGCGTACAGTGATGATGATGATGATGATGATGATGATGATTTCATTTACCCTGACCCGTCGCAACTGAAAGCGATAAGTGGTTGGGTTGATAAAAGTATGGTTGAACTAGCGAACCCGGACACTGCCAGGTGGACGGGTTCGACGACCCGAGTATACATACATCACATCTTGTAACTCCGAGGAGGGTATTAAAAAATGCTCTAGTTAAGTCTACGTGAAGCTTATATTTTCCCCTAGGGCCTCCATTTTGTTGAATGGATGCCCAATTTTGCAATGCCACCGCTAACTTAACCGAAAGAAAGGAGGCTGGTGCTGATAAGACGCATTTCACTTAGAAAAATAGCGCTTAAATCTTCTAGCCGCATTCGAGTAATGTAAGAAGTTATAAATTAATCAAGCTTCAGCATGTCACCATCTACGATGAAATCTGTTCCCCTCTAAGTTCTTGACGTAGCAAATCCCGGAGCGCGAGACTTAATTGCTATGCTTAGGAAGGAGAGAGAACAATTATCATTAATCGCATCCTATCTCCGCATACACCTGGCACGTGCCAGATCATGCTGAGATGTCCGTAGGGCAGGATGGTCTTCATCCTATCTGTGAGGGCCTTCAGGATAGACCCGAAATGGCTCCCCTACACTCAGAATACTATGTAGAACGAGAGCGCCAATGCACTCCCAACCAAGCCAAACAGAGTGCGAGTCTTCTCGTTCTTCAAGATCTCATCTGGGAACCTTTCCTCCGTGTAAAATATAGTCATGGTCTCCCTGGACAGCGTCCCCCCGACCTGGGCGGTATTTAGGAAAGATACAGTCTGTAGGAGATTAACAAACCACAGACCAATCGGTAGCCTGGGTGAGCCTGCCTCCGTGCTCTCGTTGTGGCGCCTGACATACGTCTTGGCGAGGGATTTGATTGTGACCGGGCCACCATCGGCATCGCCTAGGAGAGCTTGGAACATGGCCGGTTGGAACGTATAATTGTCGCCCTGGCGGAAGTCCAGCCGGGTGAACGAGGCATCGTGCTCGACCACGTTGTGCCTTCGCAGGTCACGTAGACCAAAGGTGCCATCCCGTCGACATAGTGGACGAATGCTACGAGTTAGGGCTGATGCGAGGGCCTTGTCCATGTGGAGAGCGGTCATTAGAGCATCTTCGACTTGTGGAAGGGTGACACTTTGGCCATCGCGAGGTCTTTCTGGTGTTAGTAACAGCCGAACGGGAACGCAGAGTTGCTGTGACATACATATATCCTTGATTTGCTAGTGCGTTCAAGCCCGAGCAAGGACCACGACATGCAATATTGCCTCGGGTGTAGGTATGATCATCAAATGTAGAATCCTCGTTGATTTGTTGATGTAGTTTTGTGGACGGGAAGGTAAACAAGCCTTTCAATAAGCTGAACATGTCCAGATACATGATATCCAATATGAAGACGTGGGATTGATTATAATGGTAAGGACTTTAGCATTGGGAAGCTGTTGCTGGAATTCTTTCCCCAGTTATAGGAAAGCAGTAAATACACTTTATGAGCGTATCTTGCAAATCGCTGCGTTGAAATTTAGTGGCGCCCCAGGTCGCTTAGGCGATTGTCTTGTTTTTTTTGTATGTAGACACGCCTACAGCTGATGGTAAATACATGATAGGCGAGCACCTTTTTGGTGGTAATGAGCCCTACATGGCGCGTTGGAGGGATGATCCAGCATATCGACAAGGTTTCAACCAATATAGAGCTATCGTCTTGCCATCCAACTAGGATTTAGAGCCATTGATCGGCTGATCGACTGGCAGAATATAGATTAACCGACAGGTTGTTTACAAGCTGTAAATTCAGACGCTCGCTTACATCTTTGTGTCGTAATAAATTGTAGGTGCTTCAATCGTGCCGTGGTTATGATTTTCTGATTTATGAAGGCGGAAATGGGATGGACAAAGTTTTAAATTTCAATTCGGTGGATCAGCTTGAAACTACGTAATCGTGAACACAAAATACTTCAGACTGAATTTAGAAAACTAGACTCTTTGAACGGTTGATCAAGTGGCGATATTATAATGAACTTGACACCAACTTTTGGTGTAGAACGTCAACAAAGGCCCGATGGAAATTGCGAAACATAGTACCTACATTATTGGGAGCCAAAAATGGATATTATGGTTGGTATACTCTCAATGGTATTCTTCAATCCTTGAAATTCGCTTCCTTTCCTCCGTATGGGTAGCCCGCTCACAATCCAGAGCCAAGGTTGATGTCTGAATGCATCATAGCTGGTAAATGGTGTATTCTTACAGAGATAGGGGTCACCTAATCTTAATGGTAGGATATATTGGCAGCATACCATTAAAGCGCCTTCAAAGGGCCTTCCCCTGAAGGGGATGTGAGTGAAGGCATATGCAAATGTAGCGGGTGAAAGAATTGGGCGAGTCTTATTTGAAAAGACATCCCACGTCTGCCTTACCGGTCTTGAACCGTGGTTATACTAAGCCTATTATGATTCCGTGAGTGTTAGTGGACTGACCTGAGGTCCATAGCGCGTTGCTTGGTTAAGGTATTATTAGTTCCGTTCAGAAAGCAAATCTTATATTTATCCGTTACCCCGCGGCCCCGCCAGATCATCGATCAATCTTGAAAATTAAGTTTACGCGTGACCGCCTACCGGTACAGTAGTATTACACAAGGCTTCCAACATAGGTGGTCTAGTACTCCATCACCGTCCGGCAGTGTTTAGAAATACTCTAGATCTGCCACGTAGGTTTCTGCGGGTAGCGTCTGGCGGGTTTAGCAACCAGAGCTTTAGTTAACGGTGGACTGCTCCTAATCGTATTATAAACACGCTAACGTATTGATAGTGGTAAATTTGGTAGCATTTCCCATAACGCAGTGGATAATAGCAAGGTGAAAGAATGTCCTTGCGCTGAAATATCGTGCGAAGATGAGAATTGTTCATCTTTCCACCTATGTCTATCCATGATGGTCTATGACGCAAAGATTGGTGGTGGAGCAGAAATATCTCCTGATCGTCACGGCCTCGATTTTTAGAGCCATGCAATATCGATGCACCTTTATGTCTGATTTAGAGGCTGATATCGGCATGACGTTTGGATCTTCACTTTTTGAAAACAGACTATCACAGGAGAAAGTGGCCAATGGGGATGGATTTCTTTGTCACAAAACGCAGCTAATCTTGCACTATTTGTCTGTAAAGGATGGATGAGACGCATACATAGTAGAGCCTGCCTATTTATGCTTCGCATGTTGAAGAACAAGGAGCCATATACTGTAACATATATTGGAAACTACGTGACAGGGACATCGATTAAGAACCTTTACAAACGCTTTCCGATCTGGTGTTAATATTTTGCGGTAAGTTCACGGTACTTGATCAGAATTGTAAAATGATACTTCATACAAATAAAAACAAAACAATTGATACAGAAGACAGCAGGGCTCTGCAAGTTGCGCCTTACTGAGCAATCATGCTGCTCATGCCGCAAGTATTAATGCCTAGATGGCCATGGCCAGAGCTTATTTTGCTTCGAGTGAGCTATTTCTAATATGCCAGACACGACCAGGTCTCCTGATACGCATAGAGGCATTCTGTTGTTGTGGGCTACGTCCTGGTTTTGCCAATTCTTGTACTCTAAATAGCTCTATCAGCGTTGGTCGCTGGATAAAATAAACTGCCGATCTGGACTGCAGCTTTCCCGTCGTGCCACTCGATTTAAGTTGACTATTGCTCAGATGATAGTGATGACGGTCAACCGTTTGGATTACTGTCGTGATGAGTGTATAGATTGACTGCGCCACGTTGTCAGACACACTTGCCGTCTCGGCCCGTATATTTGACAGGTTAGATGGATGTAATGTTGATGTCATTTACTACATTTTACTGTTCAGTATTCCCTGTCCTTATCTTTGTCCAGGGCTATATAGTCTAACTTCAGCTCACATCCTTTGCTACAAACCAGGTCGATTTCGGTCTAATAATTTTATTTCACGCTTGTCTTGCCCACAATCAGACGACAATGCAGATAGACCCCTCTAATCGAGGTCTTCAAACACTCGACCAGCTCGTACAGCAGATAGGTTCTACTGTACCTCCTGGGAACAAATTCCCAATAGTGCTGGGTAGGCTGTTTCTATCTTCGTACACGGTTATTTATTGCGCTAATTATTTTATCAGTTTCCGGGTTTTCGGGTTGGGGGGAGGCTCTTCTGGGCACTTTGAACTATTGGGGAGGTTTTGAGGATCTCCCGACGGCCCT